TAGAATTTTGTTCTGTTACTCAATCTAGCCACCCAACCCAACTTGACTTAGATCATTTCACCCCCTCAGGCCTCTGTTTCCTCAACTATAAGATGAGAGGGTGGGGCTGGCATGGTGGGTGACACTTGTAATCCCAGTTGACACTTCCCAGTCCCTCCTTTGGGAGGTCGAGGTTAGGTGATCTCTTGAAGCCAGGAATTCAAGACCAGCCTGGGCAACACAACGAGACCCTGTCTCTACAAACAATTAAAGAAATCAGTTGGGCATAGTGGTACACACTGGTAGTCCTAGCTACCCGGGGGGCTGAAGCAGGAGGACTGCTTAAGCCCAGGAGGTTGAAGTTCCAGTGAGCTATGATTCCACCATTGCACTCTAGCCTGGGTGACAGACAGAGAGATAGTCCCTTAAAAGAAAAAAAGGAAAGGAAAAAAACAGAAGAGTAGAACTTAGTGATTTTTCAATTTCCTTCCTCCTTTAAGACTCTGACTTATGGGTACTTTTGCTGGAAGGAGAGCCTCTGGCAACTTCCCGGAGCCTGAATACCACCGTGGCTGGGCTGCAATGAGGGTGGCTCAACCTTTTTTCTGCGAGGTTGGAGGTTGAGATCTAGGTGAAGGCCTTAGGAGTGGAGGAAGGGGCTGAGGCTGAGGCTGTCTTCCCAACACTGCAGATGAAGGAGTGGGGATCCTAGTGGTGGTGGCAGTCAACAACCAGCAGCTGCTGGGTGTCCTCTCCCAGCTGAAGGGATTAGCCGAGGCCCTGTGGCTAAATCCTCCCAACACGGGTGCACGCATCATCACCTCCATCCTCTGCAACCCTGCTCTGCTGGCAGAATGGTAAGGGTGAAGGCTGCAGCAGGAAGGAATAGGAGGGGCCCTGGGTGCCTGCAGACCTGCTGATTCACAGGATTCAGCAGGGTGCTTCTCTCCTGCCCATGTGACCTTTTTACTCCATTCATGCGTCAACATTTACTGAGGACCTGATGTATACCAATGGCGGTGCCTATACCAAGGGTTGCCTTAGGGGACAGAGTGATAGGACATTTGTTTTGCACCCAGGCCAATGTTATCTGAACTCTTCCAGGTTTCTCGGGGAGATTAGACAGCATCAGGGGCTTGCAACTCTGGCAAAATCTGCCTGGGAGCCTCCTTGGCTTGCTTAAATTAATAAGGGATGAAATCTCCCTTCCACTCATAACCATCCCAGAGCCTCAGGCACTCTGTTGGGGACCTTTGAAGGTAAAAAGAGTGGACTGGCAATGAGGGAGGTTTGAGGGCAAGGGGGTCCTCACGCCCTCCTTTCTCATTGTCCTTCCTTGGTAGGAAGCAGAGTCTAAAAGAAGTTGTAGAGAACATCATGCTAACCAAGGAAAAAGTGAAGGAGAAACTCCGGCTCCTGGGAACCCCTGGGTCCTGGGGTCACATCACTGAGCAGAGTGGGACCCATGGCTATCTTGGACTCAATTGTAAGGGTCTGGGGGCGGGTGTCCCCCTTTCTGACCTTTGGCCTGTATTTGAGCATTAAACTTCACTGACTAGGTGACCAGTTCCTAGCTTCACTCTAGATTTTGATTCTGTCCTCTGGAAAACGGGCTGCTTTAAAGACACCTCTGGACCCCCAGAAGTACCGACACTCCCTGTCCTTCATAAACCAGCCTGGGTGCCTGGTGCAGTGGCTCATGCCTGTAATCTCAACACTTTGGGAGTCTCAGGATCTGAGACCTTGTTGTGATTTTAGCCCAGCAGGTGGAATACCTGGTCAGGAAGAAGCACATCTACATCCCCAAGAACAGTCAGATTAACTTCAGCTGCATCAATGCCAACAACATAAATTACATCACTGAGGCCATCAATGAGGCTGTCCTCCTCTCAGAGGGCTCAGAGATATGTCTTCCAAAGGGAAAAAAACCCTGATTGGAATAAAACTTTAGTCTTTGCAAAAATCTTGTGCTGATTATTCATTGCTACAATTAATTTATTTACAAAGCACTTTCTTCGCTTATTTATGAAGCAATGGGCTGGCCTCAGTACAGAGAAAGAGAGAGAGAGAGAGAGAGGGAGAGAGAGAGAAAGCCCCGGAGGGGAAGGGTGTATCTACCTTCATTGGTCATCTTATATTTATTGAGCACCTACTACATTAAGGCCCTGAGCTGGCCGTGAAAGGGAGTACAAAAACAGGTATGAACCAGCCTGTTTTCTCCAGACACTTACAGTCTAGTTGGGAGACAAGCCTTAGTCACATAAAACACTTAAGTAACATTTTAAGGCTGAATGTGATAGAAGTCAGAATGTATAAACAGAAAATGTGCCAGGAATTTAGAAAAGAAATACCTCAAAGTGGGCCGGAAGAGATGGGGAGCGTCTCATGAGGAGGTAGGACTTGATTGGGATATTGATAGATGAATGGATTGGATGAATAACAACTAATGGAAGCTGGAAGGATATCCTAGGTCAATAACAGCCAGAGCAAGTGTCACTGACATGATAAGAAAAAATAAATGTTTTATCGGGCATCTACTAATACATGGGACTCTGTAAACCCCCAGTATACCAATAGGTATATGACAAAGTTGGTGCCCTCCACTCTTGTTGGGGAGACACAATTTACATGGTTGAAAGGAAAAACTCACTTTTCTCTCTCCTCTACTGTGATTCTCCATTCTGACACAAGATTGTATAGGGTTTTCCCCACACAATTAATTCAGTTATTTGGTGGACATCAGTTGGGTGCCTTAAAATTCAATAGATTATTTTTTTTTCTTTTCTTGAGACGGCGTCTCGCTCTGTCGCCCAGGCTGCAGTGCAGTTGCACAATCTCGGCTCACTGCAACCGCCACCTCCCAGGTTCGAGCGATTCTCTTGCCTCAGCTTCCCAAGTAGCTGGGACTACAGGTACGTGCCACCAGGCCCGGCTAATTTTTGTATTTTTGTTAGAGACGGGGTTTCGCCATGTTGGCAAGGTTGGTCTTGGACTCCTGATCTCAAGTGATCCACCCGCCTTGGCCTCCAAAAGTGCTGGGATTACAGGTGTGAACCACTGTGCCCAGTTCAATTCAATAGATTCTGATACTATCTACCTGGAGTTAGCATCAAATTCCAGAGGTGAAGGACTCAGTTCTGCAAGACTGTACCCCACTTCAGATGCTAGTCACATATCCAGTGGTGTGACCTGTGCATCTGCTATAAACTGGGGGTTCCTACCACTCCTTCCTTGGGTTTGATAATTTGCTAGAACAATTCGCACATCTCAGGAAAATAGTTTACTTACTAGATTATCAGTTTGTTATAAAAGGATACAACTCAGGAACAGCCAGATGGAAGACACACATAGGGAAAAGTGTGAGTAAAGGGGCGTGGAGCTTCCATGGTCTCTCCTCCTGGTTCCCCCTCCCAGTTCCTCCATGTGTTCGCCAATCTGGAAGCTCTCCCAAACCCTTTAGTTAGGGGTTTTTATGAAGGCTTCACTGCGTAGGCATGATGGACTGAAACACTGGCCGTTACTGATTAACTCAACCTCCACCCAGTCCCTCTCCTCTCCCCAGAGGTCACGGGTGGAGCTAAAAGGTCCAACGTTCTAATCACATTGTCGGCCCCTCCCACAACAAGTCAGCCATCCTCATGGGCTTTCCAACAGTGACCTCGTTAACATAAACTCAGCTGTGGTTGAAGAAGTCTCATTAGGAATAATAAACAGTGCTCCTTTCACTCTACGCTTCTTAACGCTTTGGAAATTCCGAGGGTTTTGTTTTATTTTTTTGAGATGGAATTTCGGTCTTGTTGCCCAGGCTGGAGTGCAATGGCATGATCTCGACTCACTGCAACCTCCGCCTTCTGGGTTCAAGCAATTCTCCTGCCTCAGCCTCCCAAGTAGCTGGGATTACAGGCGTGCACTACCGCGCCTGCCTAATTTTGTATTATTATTAGTATTTTTTTTTTACTAGAAACGGGGTTTCACCATGTTAGTCAGGCTGGGTTCGAACTCCTGCCTGACCTCAAGTAATCCACCTGGCTCAGCCTCCCAAAGTGCTGGGATTACAGGTGTGAGCCACTGCGTCCGGCCTCCAACGGTTTTTACGAGTTCTGTGCCAGAAACTGGACAGAGACCAAATCCATTTCTTATCATAAATTTTAATACCACAATGATAAAAATGTAGATAACAATAAAAGGTGACATGTAGTAAGTGCTAATGACTGTTTTAGTAAAGGGTTAGCCCAGGAGGACTTAGTTACCCAA